TGATGAAGTTCTTATTCAAGAGATCTTCAACATAACTTTTAACCTCAGGATAAAGCGGTCTTGGCACTGCTGTGTAGTTCTTTTGTACTGGTGTCTCATCGTTCAATTTGATTGTTACTTTCAGATCTGGGATACACCCAATGTCATCATCGTTCTGTGAAAATGCGTCAGCTTCTTGAGCTAACATCCTTAGCGCAACTGATCTTTGTTCTGGTGTTAACCCCTTTAAGTCAATGTTCTTGATGTGGTCAGGGATGCCCACCGTGGTCTGGGTTTCATTAGTGAAAGCAACAGAACATTCACTAACTTTACAAGTTTGGTCTACCTGAGAACCATTCTCAACGGTTTCCTCTCTCAATTTTACTGGTATTGCGGTTACAGACCGTACCAGTTGTAATCGTCCTAACACTGTCCGTCGCTTAATAACAATATCATGATTTGTTGGGTTATTCGCCTGCACTTCGATAAAATTAATCTTCCCTTTCTTTACTGTTAGCAATGTCTCATTGATTTCTAGGCAGGAGGGCCAAGGCATTGTTTCATCTGGTTCGAATAAAACTGGGGTAGTCCCACAAATTGGACCTGTATTAACTCGACACTGAATGTTTACCTGTTTACCACTTGGTATAACAACGTCTCTTTTGCTTGTTTTTACATTGCATAAATAATCACTGTCAGCACTTTGAACAAAGTTAATTAATGCTTGTGCTGCACCATTGTCAAGTCCAACAAATGAAGATTGAATTTCTGACAATAAATCATTGTGTTCATTTGTCACAATTTCTTCAATCACATTGTAGCCTATTATTGGGTGCTCAATTGTTTCAGTTGTAACCAAAAATGGCACGCGTACCTGAGTGTTCTTTGAAGACAAGGTAAATGCTAATTCAACCCAACCAATATATGGTATAACACTACCATTTGCTGCTGTGAGTTTTAGGTCAGTCTCGACAAGTTCCGACAAACTTCTTATTTGTTTTATTGTGTGACTTTGTGTCAAAAACCTTTCTGAAACCAAAGACACTTGGGCTCCTGTGTCCCAAAGCACATTAACTTCTTTATTGTCTAATTTCCCCAATACTATGCATTTTCTACCAATCATCTGTACCAGTTTATTCTGTTGACTTGGAGTCAGGTGGGTTGCAAAGAATTCCAAGTTTGCATTGTCTTTCATATCCTTGTGATTAATGCTTTGCAAGGCAACACATGTTGCTTTGTGATCATGCCAATGTTTCCTTTGACATTCCCGGTCACAATAATAAACAGCTTTGCATTGTTTACAACAAAGGATAGTGTCATGTACATGGAGTTTTTTGCAAAACGCACATTGAGGGGACGTTTGTTCTATGTTCTTGGCCATCTCCTGTCCCTCGGAAATGGCCCCTGTTCGTTTTCCGCCTTCCTTTGTGGGCAGTGACTGGCTAAATGTCCAGCCTGACAGCAAATAAAACAATGTCTGCAAGTATTTCCATTGTTTTCTCTCCTACATTTGGGGCAACCCCGTGGATATCTTGGCTGGAACGGTGCATTACTCTTAGACACCTGTTCCTCAACCTTTGCTTTAAGGGAACTTAATTCAGACTTTATTCCCTTGATCTCTGCGAGGAGGTCCTGTTTTTCACTGGCTTCTGGGGATGTCCCCTTTTTCCCCTTTGCCCCCTCAACAGAACTCACCTTGGCACTTTTCGCAGACAGCCTCTCTGTTAAACCAAGCTTGTTTTCTCTCTCGGTCTTTTGGGAGGCAAGTTCGTTGATGCTTCGCATAAGTTCCTCATCAGACACACCGTCCTTTCGTAGAATTGGTCGTAAACTAGTTGTCAGATACTCATCACTAATTCCAGTTTCTAAAGCTTTCAGAAAAGTATTCTGGATTAACTGGCTACCATAGTTGAAATCAGTGTCTGCTTCCTTACTAGCAAAAACAACTTTATTTCTTGCATCCATAATTCTTAACAAGAACTGTTGCACACTTTCTTTGGGTTTCTGGCACATTGTAGTTAGTTGCTGGTACAATTCTGAAGCTATCTTCTCGCAATAATGGATCCTTAAGATCTTTCGTAGTTGGGGAAGACCAAGTTCTGGCATTGTCTCAATGTAACTACGGAGGCTTGTGTGTGGTGAAATAGCTCGGATTACTGCATCGACAATTTCATCCTCAGTGTATTTTCGTTTGAGCCCTGATTCAATCTGGTGATTGAGAGAGATATATGTCAGTTTTTCTGCTTGTCCTGGTTCTCCAATCTGCCCCGATATCTTAAAGTCTCTTCTCAACAACGCCCGGGTACTTGAAGGCACTTCAATCACTGATGCGTTTTCACTACTGTTTACTTTGACTTTGGCAGATTTATCATTAACTCCAATTTCCAATTTATCTATCTTCGCTTGCATTTCTAACAATTGTTTCTCTTGTTGGCTTTTTAACTGTTCATATTCCTGTTGCAACTTTGACAATTCTCCTTCTTTCTCATTTACTGGCGATAATTCAGGAGAGCCACCAAGCGTTAAAAAAACATCGTTCAAAAGTTGATTTTTCGCCGTCGGGCTTTCAATTTCTTCGACAATTTCTTGAAGCCATCTCCGTACTAAATTTATTATCTGACCCCTCGACTTTTCTTTCAATTCTTCGATCTTTTCATACTTTAACTTCTCGGCCGCTTGCAATAACACATCCACATCGTTTTTATAAAGTAACTCTTCCACTTTTAGTTGTAATTCCTCGAGATTCTCCATAGTATAAACAAATACAGCAAAGTCAAAACCCTTTCGTATCGTCTTACATAATGTCGCTTATATTTCCACCAAAATCGGCTTTAATTCCATCCCTAAACCAGTTGGCAGCCCCACGTTGGGCGCCAAAATGTTACTCCTTTTTCCCTTCACGTATGGAACATAACGATTACAAAAGGTATATATTTTATTACTAACAAAATGTGAACTATATAAACTCTCGTTTTACATGTGCTCGAAGCAACTGTTAATCTATATATTGTCCCGCGAGTGTCCCACGCGTGATTCTTGCGTAATCATACAACTAAGGGCAGGGGCCCTACATAAGCACTTTAATTGTGCCCAATTTTTATTAGAGACTTTAATTAAGATGTAGGGTGGCACCGTGACAACACATCCTCGGGAAGCGTGTAAAACACTCGGCTAGTTCAGCCATCGGAATTAGGCAAAATTTCCTGGAGTCGAAAATTGCCTTCGTTATGATCGAACTCGGTGGCAATTCTACTTTTCATACACGGCGGCATTTTTCCCCGTAGTGTTATGGATTAACTGAAGATGAAAACAAACTTATGTAAATCAAAATAAAAAGAATATCAAGTGTAAAACTTCTCTTTTATTTCGTAAGAAGACCAACACAATAACTGTGTCTCTTCTTTAAAGTCCTTTATTCCCAGATTCTTTTTCCTTCAGAATCTCACAGTCCGTGGTCTCCTGTTGTGCAATCCAAACAATCCTCTGGGAATAGTTTATTCAGAGAAACAGATTCTGGAATGTATGGAATTTGCTGAGCGGTAAGTACAGAAGCTTTATTGCAGTGACTTTTAACAAGGATATTTAACATTTAAGGAGCGTTTCTTTTGTAAATCTAGATTTGGATTTTTAGGATTCGGATTTTTTTTATTCGTGAAAGAAATGGAACAAATTGTGACTACCTTTTCTGTCCCACTATACCTTTCGGTCGGGTCAAGGTATATGCTAGAAGGCCAGAAGCTCAAAAGGGCCGTTGAATCCTGATCAAGTTTCAGATTGAATCCGAAAATCCATATGTTGAGGTGGATTCATCCGATTCGAATCTATTTTAAGATTTTGTTAAATGAAACTGAAAATCGATAATCGGATTTGAAGATCCAAATCTGGATTGCACTAAACTGACTAAAGGAACGCTCCCTGATGTACCAAAGTGGAGGTGAATATGCAAGAATATTGACCGAGACGTGAAGCATCGATGTGAATATCCTTGTACTTCACCGAAACAAAAATGACCAAGAAGTATTTTTAATAAAACCAATTTACATTGCAGCTCCCTTAATTAAAATAGTTTTTATAGCAGTTTTATTTATTTGAAATAGCTTGAAATTTCATCCAAAACTGATTCATAAATTTTCCGGAAGCTCCAAGATATATGTTGCATTTGCAGGGGCCGATTTTATAAAAAACTTAAATACTTTTAAATATCCGTTTTGTTGTTAAATTATGGTTACCTTTAACCACGCGCGTAAGCTGCAAATGGGATATTGCCTTTCCAAAAAGAAATTAATTTGATTGGAAAATTGCACTCCTCTCTTCCACCAGTAAATTCATCCTGAATGAAAACCTTTCTCCTTTATCTTTGTATTGGGTATATACTGTATTTTGTTTTCAAACAATATAAATTTCAGTGCAGATGAATAAATATAAAAATATATATGCAATACACACTATACACTGTAATACCATTCATGACATCTTGCTGTGCATTTTAGACATTCGTTGCATATTATATCAGATGAAATATATATGTTGTCGATCTTCAAAGAAGACGTTTCAATGAAATCAGCATTAGCTGTAAAAGGGTGAGTTTTCTCTGTTTTGTTGGACTATCCTTTAACAATTTTAATGGACATTCAGGACATAGAGGTTAATCTACAGGAAACATTAGGAAATATTATTGGAACTTAGACATACCACTAAGCCCACAATTCTTGGATAATTTTAAGAAGAGATTTAATGTATCTTTATAGTAAAAAGCCTCTTTTTAATAAAATGTTTTATTGTCAAAATTTCTGGATATGATGCTATTACTGTGGATGAACTTTTTAAGCAAAAAGAAAGGAGAACTAATTCGCAATTCATCTAATGACATCATACCCCGTCAAGTTGGTCAAGATAACGTTTTTTGCAATATTAGTGAGCACTAGCAAGCGACGTTTTTGTCAACACGAACGTTACCCGAAAATTGGTATAACTAATTTTGCCTGTATTTTCCTTCATAGTTAGAAAAAACGTTAAGAATCTTATGTTCTGTCATAGGTGCATGTTGACGATTACCACCTATCCCAGTCCCCCCTCGACAATCTGACGTCGGTGTTGACAAAGACGTCGCTTCTTAACCTCGCTAATGTCAAGTTAGTAACTTAGTTTAATTAAAGATGTTCAACCAAGTTAAACAAGGTTGAAAGATAATTTTTAAGTGTGTGTGTGTGTGTGTGTGATAAGCGCCTTAATTACCACTTTATAGTTTTGCCAACGTTTCGTTGCTTCGCTACAATTCTTAATTGGTTGCAGGTTACATGCCAGCACTTGTGGTGTCGTGGTCACCACGCTTGCCTTTCAAGCTAGGAGACCTGGGTTCAATCCTTTGTCGGACCTCTACTCAAGGTTTTAAAATAATTGAGGAGAAAGTGCCACCTTCACAATGACATGAGTTAATGATTAGACTTTCGCGTCACAAAAGAGTGAGCTCGTAATTGCTGCAAACAAAACAGTATTTACAAGCTTTTGGTAATTTTATTCATTAGAAATAGTTTTAAAGAATATGTACCTCTACACACTATTAAACGAAACTGTGTGGCTTTCTTTGTGCTTGGCGAAACCGCAGCTTCGTTCAGTAGCTAAAAAGATTTCGAAAGTTCGATAATACACACAAGAATTGTATGTTATATTTATTCATTTGCTTACAATCTGTTACAATCGATCCAAAAATTTACATGTAATATAAAATCTCCTATATAACCTTCCAACCTAACCCTCTACTTTCCACACGCTACTTCCCTCATGCTCTATAATCCAATATTACGTCATTTTATGTTGTTCTTATACTGTACATGAAATGTATCCAACAAAACACGTTACACAACAACCTTATACAGTACATGTAATAAAAATTACATGGCACTCGTCTCTAGCCGAAACAAAACCGGAAGAAGTTTTGGTCCGGAGATGAATAGTGCATGGATATTCTGAGCTGAGCAACCATTAAAATTGTGCGAAAGCACTATTCACCTGCAGACTACATATCAGTAGTTCAATTGATAGAACACTAGTTATTTCGCTAATTACTTTAATTTTCTTTATTTTTTAGACCCATTAATCCTGATTGTTTACATATAGTTTGGGGATTTAGTAAGGTAAATTTAGCCTAGCTTAACCCATTATAGTGCAAGACTCTCTCCTTGACGAGTAAAATCGTCTGGCGTTAGACAGAGTAAAACAATAAAGTAGGGCGCATTTCGGCGCATTGCTGCTTAATGCGTTAATTGCTGCTGAGCACTGCGAGGCAGCACACTGTTCCTGACTCTGCTTTCGTTTCTCCAGAGTTTATTCGCGGCGCCAAGTCTTCGTCTATCCAGATATTTTGCTCTAATTAGCAAACGTTAAAAACTGATGTCCAACGTAATCAATAAATTCCAATTGCAAAGGTAACCGAAAAATATACGGAAATGTAGGGCATGCGCTCTCGTGTTTTTTTTCCATTCAGTTGCATGATTTGACCATCTAATCTTTCTGAACTAAATTGCATATTGTTTGAACGAACAGCTATAATTGTAAAATGTATTTGTTTTTTATCAAAGATTCGTTAAATGCCACTAGCGTTTAAGCTCTCATTCTAGGAGAAGCAATTGTTTTTCATGACTAGGGATATACCGGGTACCACTATCCGATATCTGGTAAAACATTCTCCAGATATTTACCGGATCGTACTGAAACTTTCATTATAACCACAAAACCGTCTGTGAAACACAATATCTAGTCTACTGGACAATGACATGTGATATATTAAAACGAATTTGCAATTAAGTTCGTTCTCTGCTGTATATTGTAGTATATTGTATACAGACAGTGGACTATTTTATGATAACAAGTTTGTGACGTATCGTATCCGGTATCTGGTTATTGTCCAACAGACAGTATCCAAATAGCCCAATGTGTGCCCAGTTTTTTTTCCCCAATGTATGTTTTAATTCCCGGCCGTCAAGTTTGAGGTAGCGCTTTCCTTGCAATAATGACTTCTAGTAGTGTGCCCAGTCTTTTCTTCCAATGTATGTTTTAATTCCCGGCCGTCAAGTTCGAGGTAGCGCTTTCTTTGCAATAGTGACTTCTAGTATATTTTCTTTGCAGGACTTTGGTTTATCTGGTATCCGTGCTGGAGCTTTGTATACACGCAATCAAGATATCGTAGCAGCTTTACGTAATATTGCACCTTTCTATTCCATAGCTTTATATCTTCAGGTATTTATTGCATGTTCTTTACATTTGTAATAACCCCAAATATGTTACTTTTGCCTGTAATATTTGGCTCATTTTGAGAGGAAATGTGATAAAGAAAACCTCATATCAAAGTTGCCGGCATACATATATATGCATATTGTGATTAGATGAACTTTTACCATAAAAAACAATGGCAAATTTAGACGGTGAAAAGTGTGATCAAGATCAGCATGTTTTACTATTAAGTACCTTGCATTTCTTCTCAGAATAACACATACAAAAAGTCCTATATACATGCATGTTAACGACTGTATGCACATAACGCAAACGCCTGATATACAAACTAATATATAAACTCTATCCTGTGAACAAAGGAAATCAAGCATTTGAATTTAATTTATACAGTGTCGCGAAATGCCGTTTAGTTCTAGCAATTTCTAGTAATAAGTAGTACTATTGAAAATACATGCATGCAGAAACCCCTCGCCTTGCTGACAAAACCATTGTATTTTCCGAACATGAAGTATTTAAAGTAGTTGTATGGTAACACGATAATTTGGTTAAGAATATTTTTACAAATGAAAATCTCCTAAAAATATCACTTTTAATTACAAAATTTTCGATTCCCCAAACATATGTTAGGTATGTTATTTATTATACGTAATCTAAGCTTCAATTTAAGGTAAAATTCAACCTCAAACGCTTCACAAGACGTTTTAAAATGTTCTTTATAAGACTAAACTGCCTTTATCGAAAAACTTCGAGTTTGAAATAAAATGATTTCAAATCTCGCATTCAAACAACTTTGCTTTCTTTTTATTTAAAATTTTTAATATATAATAAAAAAGGGTAATCACTAAATCCATAGTAGGCCCTATGTATCCATATTATTTCGATACTATATCCATATAGTATGGAAATATACAATTATTATGGATAATCAAAAATCTATTCTATTTCGAATAAGGGTCCATACAATTTCCATTCTATGGATTTTCAAATTTTTTTCCAGTGATTATTGATGCGCACTGATAATCAGCTGTGTAAAATTCTGGAACATAGGCATGGCAACACGATATTGTTTTTTGTACAAAACGGGGGAAAACAAATGGAAGTTTGACACTTTTTAACTAAAGAACTATCAATTTCTGAAATAATATAAAATGGGCATGTTATTTTGCATTCCATAGGCTTTATTTTAATACAAAATTCAACACGAAACGCTTCGCAAAACTTTTTTTAAATAACTCTTCAACTTTAATATTACTTCTACTTTGTCTTTGAAATTAAATAAACTCAAAGCATGTATATAGGCGCTCATTAAAATAATTTGCTCTGCTTTTATCTTGAGTTTTATATTAAAAATTAAAACAAGCAAACAATGAAACCTTCACATACAATGAATGAAATGAAAGCTGTAGGCTACATGTTTTAGGCAAAAATTAAACAATGTATAGTCATACATAAAAACAGTTAAAACAAAACTTCCGGTTTTCCTATTCTAAACCAATTCTTATCGTTGAAAATGCTTTACATCTTATTGTGTGAAATTATTTTTCTAAGCTTTCTTACATGTTTTTTTTTATCGTTGCTTCGTCCACCACAGGCCAACAGCTACAGTATATCTTTGAGGTCAGTGAGGATAACCACCTGCGCACTATGAAACTAGCCATGCGCCCGCAATTGTTGATGAACTTTAGATTTCGCTGATGCTTTCCTAGATATAAATAGCCGTGCGGAATTAGCACAATGGTGCATAGAAAGACCAAACTTTATCATTTCAAACAGCCATTTACGCCCGCTTAAATAATCAATAATAAGTTGTAGACAAATTCCAAGTTGAGTTAATTGCATATTCATTGTTATTTTTCTCTACACGACAGGCAATGTTAGAAAATCTCGTCAATGATTATGGTATGTCACTTTTATAATGTGAACTTTGATAATGTAAACCAGTCTTTGGTGTTGTCCCAGTCAGTAAAATAAGCGTTCTCTAATTATCATTTCGACAGTATATGGTTGAGCGATTCGACGAGATGATGCCATTGGATGATTCCGTCATCGTGGCAAAAACACCTTGTCTTTACCGGACAAGTTTCCTGATTTTATCTGCATTTACTTTGGTAAATCAAACTCTAAGCTTTCTCTGCTTATCGTGTTAACTTTTATATTTATTTCGAAACCTAGTGTAAGAAATTGAAGAATTTATGGAGTTTCCGAAATTGGTGACTTATTATACGTGTCAGAAACACTGAAATTCTTTCATGGCATGAATATCGTACATCATTGAGTTAGTGGTTTTCACTCAATTTGATTGGTTGTTCAACTCCGGATACCCTTGCGTTATTTACCTCCAAAAAACAAAATAGCTTCCCTTTTCGTTCTGGTTATACAGACGAGCAAGTTTTTGTACTAAACGAATCTGGCGTTTCGCCAAACAAGAAAGCCACAAAATGTTGTTTAATAGTGCATGTGTATAGAGGTATTCTTGAAAGCTGTTTCTAATGAATAAAATCATTAAAAGCGTGTAAATACTGTTTTGTTTACAACTATTACAGGAGCTGAAATACAAACTGTTTTAAAAAATATTATTTTCGTTTGTTGGTCATTTTCATTTTGATATTGTATATGCTAAAACAATAATTTTCCTCAGTGTATGTGAACATGCAAGGATATTCATCTCAACGCTTATTGCACTATTCACCTCCACTTCGGTGATTACTGGCTAATTACTGAATCTTTTTACCCTGTATGGATCATGCAAGCAAAATGAAAATACCCTTGTGTATAACAACTTCCAGTTAGAATCTTTTGCTAGTTCAGTCAATGCTATTTTCCTCCTAACTTCATAGACTGGCTGGATGATGTTCTGATCCCAACGAACCACAAACGACTGCTGGAATGTCATAATGTTGTTACTGAAGTATTAGAAAGAAACGATATTCCTGTTGTGCCAGGCTGTTCAGGTCTATTCGTGTGGATTGACCTGCGCAAGTATTTATATCCACAGACTTTTGAAGAAGAGAAACGTCTTGCAGACATATTGCTTGAAAATGGAGTTTATATCAATGCCGGTCGCGTGTTTAGTTGTGGTGAACCCGGCTGGTATAGAGTTGTTGTTGCCAGTGATCTTGCAATGATTAAGATAGGTAAGTACCTCAGCAGCAATTATTTATATCATATGTCATAAGCATGGAAACTTTTGATGAAATACTACCCCTGTTTTGCCCCCAATTTTTCCCGAGCCAGCCCGGGGCGAGGGTATACTAATTCCGCTCGGCTACTTACAATTACTGGGTACAGAATATGAGGATATAAAGTGCAACATCATCCTCCATGCAGTATATAATGGACGAGTTTCGTCGTTTAATATGCACATGGCTGGTACAAACTCCTGTTTAGCAATAACAATTGTTTTTATTTTGCAAAACTTCAATTGAGATGTGTTTGTATTCTTACAAAATTGCAAAACGTTCTTCTGGATTTGGTTCAACTTGAAACAATCTTGCAGTTTGATGATTTAGTGGTTTCCAACCGTGAAACAAAGGCATAAACACGAATCAGACGAAGATGAACCTGATGATTTTAATAATTTAGTCGTTGTCTTGACTATGTTTGGGAAAGTGTACTTGCTTTGTGCCGTCGATTTCATTCATATCTCCGAAATATTCAAGCCATTCTTGTTTCTATGTAATTTGCTTGAAAACACGGTAAAATATACCCCAGACAAGCTTTTACTTCAATTAGATTTCGGTCAAGCCACATTTGCTGTAGGTAAAAGGCCATTATAAACACACATAAAAAACCAATGCGCTGGATGAATTGTCCCAAATGAACAATAATAATCGCTCGTGCAATTACATGTGAATACCTTGTATTTCTCGGCAAAGCCGGAGATTTTTTTAATTCTCTAGCACCCGTTTCACAGCTAAGTTTCTAAACGTAGCTACATTCTATGTAAAAAATATTTTAATATTACCATGGCATAACCACTAATTGGTTTCATTTTCAATCATGAAATAGCCTACTTCATGTTCAAGAAGCAGTGTTTTGGAATTAGCTATATAGTTCATTCGCCAAAAAACGTTTAGGGGTTGCTGCATGCATGTATATCTAATTTTCACTAATGATTAATAGTGATGACTAATAGTATATCTAATTTTCACTAATGATTAATAGTTAGTATTGATAAAAACATAATGCACTGGATGAATTGATAGGTGAATCAATAATAGGACTAACCTCTAGATCCTTCTGCAGGCCTATTATGTATTTATTAATTTAAGGTATCCTGAATGAATATTTTGATTGATTGATTGATAGTGATTACTATAACAGTAATTACTGCCACTGATCATTGACAGTGGATGATCATTGACGTTGATTGCAGAGTATAATCGTTACCGTTAATTATAGTTCTTCTTGTCAATCACCGATATGAGTTTATTGTCATAAATTTTTGTCAGTGATGCAATCTGGTGACTAATCCCTAAAATTTCCATAATCCGTTTGTAGGTATTGAAAGAGTTGTTAATACCTTGAAAAAGCTGAAAGACAAGCAAACAAGTTAGAACTATAGTATATTCAATATTGCCTTAATTGTTAAGGATTATAAACGGAAACAGTTGGTGGTTTGCAATCAATCCCTTGAGGGTTTATTAGACAAAGATATGACGGCCATGTTGGAGAAAACACGCTCCAAATACAATAGGTCAATACTGCATGCTAATGATATTGTTTTATTAGCGTTCCTTCAAGATGGCCTTCATGACGTAAAGTCAAACGAAGAATATGTAGGATAAACCAAACATACCTGTAAACCTCTGTTAAAAATAGTAAATGAATTAAATTCGTTATACTTACAACTTAGATATATTAATTATTTCCTCCACCAGAAGGTTGTATATACTACCAATACAGGTATAAGTTTTAAATTCCAGCTATCTATCTATATATATATATATATATATATATATATATATATATATATATATATATATATATATATATATATATATATATATATATATATATATATATATATATATATATATATATAAATATAGATATATATGAATGAAAATGATGAAAATGTTCTAGAGTGTGTATTATATAATTTCCATACCCAGCGCAAGCAGAAAGATGTTGTCTGCCGGGGCTGGGTCTTAAACCCGCGACCTTCCAATTACTAGATCGACGCTCTACCAACAGAGCTACATGCGGTCAGACGGATTTAAGACTGGAAATTACGAAATATATACTGAATGTCATAAACATACTCGTTTATATTAACTCAGCATCGAACAATACTGGTTCTGCAAGTGTTATGTTAGTTGCGTAATTGTACACTCCGTAATATGTTAAGATGAAAGTGTTCTAGGGTGTGTATTATATAATTTCCATACCCAGCGCAAGAAAAAAGATGTTGTCTGCCGCGGCTGGGTATGGAAATTATATAATACACTTTCTAGAACATTTTCATCTTAACATATTACGGAGTGTACAATTACACAACTAAAATAACACTTGCAGAACTAATATTGTTCGATGCTGCATGAATTAATATAAACGAGTATGTTTATGACATTCAGTATAATTTCGTAATTTTCAGTCTTAAATCCGTCTGACCGTGTAGTTCAGTTGGTAGAGCGTCGATCTAGCAATTCGAAGGTCGCGGGTTCAAGACCCAGCCGCGGCAGACAACATCTTTCTGCTTGCGCTGGGTATGGAAATTATATAATACACACTCTAGAACATTTTCATCTTAGCATATTACGGAGTGTACAATTACACAACTTTGTAACTGATCTAATAAAAATCTTCAATAAAACATACTAAATTTTCGGCTGCTAACTGCAGCCTTCTTCAGAGTACGTTTGGCCGTGTTCGATTCGTTCTAGTCCTTTTATGCCTTATCCCGTTACGCTCGATTGATTCTATAACAATGGTAAATACGATACCGGAAATTCTATGTGTTCATTAACTGCATTTTTGTCTAGTACAGAATGTAATGCTTCAAGAAACCTTCTTCGGTCATAGTTTTTAATGCCTTATTCCAAAATATTTACGTCAGTTTTAGCGACTTCATGACCTGTCCGTTCAGCATGTTCTTTTATAGCTGAAAAAGTCTTTTCTTACGCCTGGTTTGTGTTCAAGCCATCGGAAATACCAACATCTTTTGACTCCCCGACATAAGTGAATGAGCACGACTCGCATTTGAATTTGTACACAATAGCTCTTGTTCGCATTTCCTGTGGTCTTTCTTTAGGTTTTTTGAATACATTTTCTAACGTGACCATCGGCTTGAATGCTGTCCGAACGCCTGCTCGAGTTAAGATGCCTTTGACTTTTTCCGACACACCTTTCACATACGGAATACGTCGAGCCACTAATCTCAAATTCAGAAGAATTTTGTTGTGTTTTGTTCGTATTTCTAACACTATCAATAAACGCTTTCTTGTATCCATTTAACTCTAACACTTCTGCTACTCTATCCGTTTCCTCCTGTAAAATTTGGTTTGATGGAATAACTCTCGCTCGGTCTAACAATGATTTTACAACTGCGATCTTGTCTCTTACAGGACTATGTGAGCCAAAATCTAGATATTTGTCGGTGGGTGTGTTCTTACGGAAAACTTTAATCGAAATGTCTGTAGAAATTTTACAAATCTCTGTATCCAGGAAAGCGATTGTTTGCATGTCTCCATTTACTGCTGGTGTTTCAATGGTAAACTGAATACAAGGATTTATAGAAATTAAATGATCATGAAAAGCAGTTATATCGTTTTGTTTAAAACACTCTATTACACAATGTTCAACATCTGGGCTTCAAACAACTAGAAACTAGTTTCTTTCCTGCTTTACGCAATATTTCATTTCGCCAAAAGAAAATGACGCAATTCCATGTGGAGTTCATGCTTAAACTCGTGTTTCCCCACAAAAGAATCAACATCAAGGCATCATCACTAAGCAACGCGGTTGAGGTGGCTCTGATTACGGCGTACACACTTAATGGAGTTATACTGACGAAGAAGCAGAAACTAGTAAACAAGCAGGTGTAGTTCTTTTTCAAAACTGCCATCTGCGTCTTGGATGCTTGCCCGTTTCGGTTAGTCCTAAGCTTTGTGACGATTCGATACATTCTGATGTTCAAGATCACCAGTAAGAATATGGGTGTTGTTCCGATTACCAATAATGTTATGTAGTTAACCGCTTTAAATTCATCGAAGAACCGAAACATACGTAAAGCGGCGAACAGGAACTGCATTATCACAGTAATTGCCAAAATCCGTCGTTTTGTCACATATGTGCGGTGAAAGAATGGTCGGGTTATTGCGAGATACCTGTCAATGGTCATCGCCAACAATGCATACATTGAAAAACTGTGGGCAAAATTGGATGCGAGTATTGCAACGTCGGTCAAGCGATACCCATCACTTCCTGGCTTTGACCAATGTGCTAAACTATTGCCGCCAGTTGACCATAGCGCAGCAGATAAAATGACTGTAGGATGTGCAACTATGATCACGAGTAAATCAAATGAGGAAAGAACAAGGATCATAAAGTTGGCGTTTCCTTTGCGAAGTCGGGCAGACCTCCACAAACTGATGATGACTACCGAATTGAGAAAAATTCCAAAGAATGTGAAGAAACCGTTTACAATGGATAAAAATATCAAATTGATCAAACTGTATAACTTCATGTTGTATTTACGCCAGGTTTATGAAGCTTTAGTACCGAAGAAACAAAGCAAGGATAACTTTGAAATACTGATTAAGTGTTTAACGTGACTTAACAACTTTGTTGTCAGCTTGCTGACTATCAAACTACTCGTTAAGCAGCAGGTGCTGTCAGAGTACAGCTGACATAGAAAATTGTTATCAAAAAATTATTTTAATTTGAGTCGTTAGAAAAACTGCAATCATCAGAGTCGTGTTAATTTATTTCAAGGTAATCTGTTAATTATAATCTTGTATCCCACATGACTTGCTAAATTCATCTGCCTAGGCATAGTGTTATCTCCTACAGGTGCACGATAGATATCAACTACAAAGTAAAAACTGCTACATATTAATTGCACACTATATTTTTTACACTACTTGTGTTTCTCTAGAGTTTACTCTCGCCCAGTCTTTTTCTAAGATCCTTGGTCTAAATGTTTCTAATAACCTTAATTGGAACAGACATGTTAATGAAACTATTATTAATTAAGAAACCCTAAACAGACTATATTTTGTTAGTCAATTAATTTAAAGAGATCAAACATTGCTACTAAGGAGCTGCTCCAATTTTACACTACGTGTATCCGACCTGTTAGGGAGTACGCAAGTCGAGTGCTCCATGATAGTCTGTCGACCCAATATCTATCGGATGACCTGGAATCGATACAAAGGAGACCAATGAAGATTATTTCAGAACCAACCTAAGAGATATACGAAAAACTAATTTCATATTATTCTGACACTGCAATCGACCAACGAATCTAGACCGCCCATTGAGCTATCGAGTCAACGGGGATCGAGACAAGCGTTAAGTCGTCACGAAAGTATTTCGTGCACCTAAATTGGATAAGACTCGCTACCAATCCCCGTTGACTCGATAGCTCAATGGATAGAGCGGCGGTCTATAGATAGCCGAAGATGCGAGTTCAAATCCCGCTCGAGCCAACGAATAATATGAAACTGGGTTTTCGTATCTCTGAGGATGATTCTGAAATAGAATTGAAACACTGCGCGTCCTCTAAGACAAGCGTTAAGTCGCCACGAAAATATTTCGTGCACTTAAATTGGATAAGACTCGCTACCAATCCCCAGGGCTGCATAATATAGCGGACCACGGGACCATTGGTCCCAGAAAAATTTTGAGGTTGGCAGAAAAAAATGGAGCGTAAAACTTTAAAATCTCAAAAGAAAGAATGAAAGGAAGAAAATGAGGAAAAATAACATAATTGAATAATAAGCTGTAGGTAGTGAACTAGTGATGTTTGCAACATGCAAGTAATACAAGTTTCCAATATACCGGTACAGATGGCTCTCCAGCAGCCTGAAACTATGCTCAAAGACAGGTAGATAGCAGTCTAGCAGATATTAAGACAAAATCCTCTATGTGGTTTTTATATTTCATCTAGTGTATTAGCTACTTCTGAAAATACCACTCCAATTATATATGAATACAACTCGTTTAACAACTACAGTATGTGGATTAAAAAGTCTATGTATGAGTGTGGTGATTTCTTATAATGCAGTAAAAATCTAAGCAATATGTTCCAATACACAACAGCCTTCCACCCTTCTCACAAACTTTCATCCATTAATTAATTAAGATGATATTCATAACAAATATATTAAAATTATAAGAATCTAGAATCTTAAACTGCAGAGACTTTCCAGTGCAGGTCATTTTCATCATTCATTAAAATGTAAATGTTTGTTGTTAAATTAAAATATAAAGACTATTTATTCGGTAGCCATGTTGAAATACGTCTACCTTGCTGGCAGTGGTTTCGGAGCTGAGGAGAAACCACTGCGAGCAAACAAACGACTTTCTATTGAGCATGCACGAAGATCACAGGGTGGGACGACACTAATTTGACTTCATTTGCTGTAGTTTGACAGTTTGTTATCTGTACGCAACAAGCGTGGCATAGTACTGTTTTGTTGTCTGTCTGACTTTTTATTCTACATGCAGTTCACAATTTACTTCTAAAAGATTTTGAAATTGGTGCCTCACCCTATGGCTACAAATTGTGCATTAGAATTCTGTTATATCTTTTTAAATTTCTGTATTTATCTGATCACTATCAATTTTTTAATTCGGTCTGGAAACTTTATTTGTGTTACTTAAATGTTGGAGATTGTGTTAAGATTTTCGATAAATTCCAATTCCAAAGTTTCCAAATAATATAATAATATAATAACGTTTCCAATTACTGTTGATTTTGACAATTATTGCAATTTTTGATCGTTGCGACCTCAACTGCTACAAATTTCAACTGATGAAAGATTGTTGTGACTGCGCTACTATTTCTGTAAAAGGTGTTGAATTTTGTTGCAATGTGTGAAGTTATAGTTACTCTGTTGAACTGTAGGCGGTTTTCAAGTCATCTTAATATATAATTTCAAGATACTATACTTAGAGTGTAATCATGTTGTTTTAGTACAACTGGCTTGCATTTTACCAGCAGTGCCAAGCAGTTACCCATGTGCACAATAACAAAAACTTGTCAAACTTGTTTTACTGGTTTCTCATTTAATGTATTTGTCCATTAATCTGGACGGCGGCTACAATGAAACGATCGTTCATTTGCTCGCAGTGGTTAATTTCTCCTCAGCTCAGCTAGAAACCACTGCTAGCAGGGTAAAATGGTTTCAAATCTAATGAAATGGTGCATAAAATACACTGAACCTTGTTTAGTGATGAAACACAAGGTGCAGAAAATATTTTTGTTGGCTTTGTGGTCCCAGAAAATGAAATATTTTATGCAGCCCTGCCAATCCCCGTTGACTCGATAGTTCAATGGTTAGAGCGGCGGTCTAGATACCCGAAGATGCGAGTTCAAATCCCGCTCGAGCCAACGAATCTTTCGTTGGTCGATTGCAGTGTCAGAATAATATAAAAGTAGTTTTTCGTATTTCTGAGGATGGTTTTGAAATAGAATTGAAACACTGCGCGTCCCCCAAGACAAGCGTTAAAGTGGCATTCGCGTCAAGATTTTTATTTTCTTAAACGAAAATGCTCTTAAAACTGTATAGTAACTTGTTTTGTAGATTTTCGTTCCCATGCTTAGTTCTTGAGATATTTTTCTTGTTTGTTACCATGTGACATCAATGACTCGATTATATATATATATATATATATATATATATATATATATATATATATATATATATATATATATATATATATATATATATATATATATATATATATATATATACTGGATCCAGAAAAGTTTGACCTTCGAATATATATATATGTCGGCCATTTTGAATTTTCTTCGGTTAATTATACGCGAACGCATACATCAAATGTCGCTCGCAACGTAATGTATATTGCAATATTCTAACAGCTCAAATAAGTAAAGGATCATTGCTTGAAGTTTTTACACATATTTGTAGTAGCTATCTAATGAACATTTGAGGGTTGTTAGCTAATTAAGACTTGTCACAATTTGGAAGCTGATCTTTTTGGCATGTCGTAATTAATTCTTTTGCATTCTTAGAGATTTAGACGCCTATTAGCATGCCTCGATGAATTTCTTTGTTTATTCTTTCGTATTCACTTGTGCTTATTTTATAGCTGTAACCTACGTCCAGAATTATTATATTTTGCCAACGGAAATTTTAACGGAATCGATAGTCATTCGATATTTCATCCCCTGAAACTCAGCACGCGCAGCATTCGTGACCTGGCGAAGCAGGTCACTTAGACTTGCCCAAGTCGCTCGCTAGGGACCGCGCGTAGCAAGAAGGGAGCGCTTGAGAAAGACGGAAGCGAGCGACTTGTGTCACTTGCCTGATTTTGAATCTTATTGAAAAATTTGGCGCGAAAATCAATTATGACATAGTGGCACTGAGCTGTATAATACAGTGCATAGTGGGCGTTCACCATTTCGATTTCACTAGTTTTTACTACAATAACTTATAGCTTCTTTTACTTTTAAATTTATATCCATTTTATTTTTTAGCTAGAGATTTTTACAGTAATTTTCGACGATTCGCGTCTGTTTATATTAAATATACATTTAAAAAACTCATTAATAATTCATGAAGAAAACACAAAGAAAAATCATAAGCGTGTCGTATCTGTATATGTGATACAGATTCATGTTGATTTACATAAACTTTAACTTTGATTTTCTCGGCTTAGACAACGTTTATTTTTAAAATTACTTCGCCAATGAACTTTTTTAAGTTGTTTCGGCTCGAGTTTGTATATCTGATACAACACGGCCGCTCATGTTGTAAACATTACTTACAAAATGGCGTCGTCAGTACAGTACTGACGTCACCGTGAATTTGGCGCGCTTGCGGGTGACAAAAGTCCGTCGCTTCCAGGAACCACGAACCGCGGACTTTGGAAAGTCTACAGGTCACTATGTTCATTTCCAAATGTTCATTTCCTACTAGTCATTATGATTATGTGCAATGACATCAATCAATGATTCTTTTATTCATTTGAGCTGTTGGAATAATATTGCAATATACAATACGTTGCGAGCGACACTTGATGTATGCGTTCGCGTATAATTAACCCAAGAAAATTCAAAATGGCCGACATATATATATATATATTCGAAGGTCAAACTTTTCTGGATCCAGTGTATATATATATATATATATATATATATATATATATATATATATATATATATATATATATATATATATATATATATATATATATATAATCATATACGAGTAGAGTGCTCGATATCCCGAAGTATAGAGCTAATATAGATAAAGATAAAATAAACCTGCTTTACTTCATAAGATTTATTCACTACAAACTTGTTTCGTATGACAAGCAACGCTTGCCACACTCATCAGGTGAATTTAAATGTCGCGCTATGTCGTTGCCAAGGTTATATATACACTATATACATGTTTGGCGTAAACGGAATGTTCAAGTATTAAATGACGTATAGATTACATATAGATACAGATTATATTAGGTAATGTTTATTGCTTAAGAGAAATTTGTTTCTATGTCTGCATTTCGACAAAAGTTCACTTCTTGAATTTAAAGAACGAAGTTCAGGGTGGTAGATTATGATGAATTTCTCATGTGCAGGCTACAAAGACTGCAGCGTTTCGTTGTGTTGTTGCAGCTCTTGCATTGCTTAATAATACGCCAGTTTATGGAGTACTTGACCTTCGACTCTTTAAGTTGCCAGATGTATTTGCTCAGCTCTGTGGCATTTCTATACTTGCTTAATCTGAATGAGCTAGTGTGGCAATAATATCTGGATTTGAACTGTCCTTCAGTATGTCCGACATACGATTCCTTTTGATTCGTATCGTTCTAACAACCGTTGCTTGGTATACTACGCTGGATGTTAGACATTTACCGGGCAGTGGACACGAGGACTTATTCCTGCAATTGCATTGTCTTGGTTTCGTGCTGCATGTTGACGCATCTGTTGAGGTGAGCTTATTTACTACAGATTTATTGTGCCCAGAAATTATATTACGAATGTTGGGCATGCAACTGTAACTCAGCTTCAAGGTATTTCTGTTAAATATTTTATGGAGAGGATTGTTTTTAGGGAAGCAATCATCAATTGCTTGTAGGAATTTGTGTCCGATATTCGTTTTGACATTAGAGTTGTAAGGTGGATTAAACCATATAACGTTTCTGTTTCTAGTGCGTTTTGTCTTTGCATGCTGGGGATTGTATTTTAACTTGTAGTTGTAACCACTCTTATGTAAAGCATCTTGGTATGGAGGACAAGCTGAATTAAATGCTTGTTCGTCAGACGAGATGTTGGACAATCGATTGTTAATTGCATCAGGAATTGCCTTTAAAACTGCGGGTGGGTGATTACTCTGACGATGGACATATTGAAGCGTATTTCCCGGTTTCATGTACGGTTTAAATGAGGAAGTTCTTAGGCAACCTCGTACCCAGGGCCTTTGCGCGGTTCAGAGGCTCTGGTACGGGAAGCAAAGGCCCTGGTAAACACTGGTCATGTGACTCCAAAAATATTGGACATTTCGTAATAATTTAGTTTTCAATCCGGGGGGAGCGGAGCCGATTGATTTTATCAAACATGGCAGCGCGAAGGCGCGACGTTTTCGAGTTTTCATATTATTATGATAAATAAAACTTTCCTAGTGAGATTTAAGAGTGGGTATATATTATATATGCATTCTACGAGCTTTCTTTCAACAAAATGTGGAATAGCTAACGGTAATACTTATCAAAGATCGAAGGACGAAGATCAAACTGAGAGAAAACTTGTCGAGTGATCTGTCTTTAAACTGTCTATTTTGTATCCAATGCAGCTGCTTGTGTGCGACGTTTTATAAAGAATTAAATAAACATTGTTGATTATAAGTAATTTTATGTATTGACTAAAGAATATCACTTGGGATTTTATTGTACTTTTATGGAAGGATAAATCAGAGGGGACATCTATGGAAACGAAATTCTTCATGTGTATTAAACATGTAGTTATCAAAGCAGAATATTTTGAAACAATTAACTGGTCGAGTGACAGGTTGGTTTCCGTATGTATGTAGTTTAAAATACAGTTGTGAATGAAATTGTACACAGCATCTTGAAACCTTTGTGTGTGTGAGTTAATTTCATATTTATTTTTTGGGATGTATCATCTATATTTCTGTTTGTCTGGAAGGGAGGGAAGGGGGGGGGGGGTACCAATCCTGAATCATGAGAAATAATATACAGTGATCTTGAAACAACAAATTTACTACGAATCTTATATCAGTGATATGTGACTTAGGAGTTTTAAAGGCAAATAACAGTCTGTATACTGGGTGTGCGTTCACCTATTTGTTTACATTTGCAGTTACTGTACATCGGTTCATGATTTATGAAATTTGAAC